TGTTTACTGTTAATTTCTAATCCGCTGTAATGTAATTGTACATGAATCTGCATAGCACAGGGCACCTTTTACATGTCGCCATACGATGTTGCGGAAAAAAANTTGTGATGCACAGACTGTGTGGAGTAAGATGTAGTTTGGGGCACAGAATTCCACCTGGATCTAGATTTACTCAGCAAATTGTTGAATGCATTCTTAACTTTGAAGGCGATTTTCTGCAGTCTTGAAACAACTTGCGGAAGGCTTCGAAATTAATGAAGTTCCGAAGCATCTGCCGAATTCTGGACACTCTAAAAGGCAACACAATTGTAATTATAAGAAAAATCTAGAGCTGAATTTGTCACCTATTGGTGTTTAACTACACAATACACGAATGTTCAGATGACCCTGCTTTAAGTCACGTTTGATGAACTGACCTGAAGTTGAATCGCTCGCCAATTAAAAAGAAGAAATTGCAGTTTTATCAAGAGGGAGGATTTGGGTTTAAAAAAAAATTCTTCCTTTCCAGGATTAGTGATGGGCAACAAAAGATATTAGCAGTTTGGGGGGAAAAAAATGTACACGGAGAATTAACCAAATTCTGATCGCTCCATGAACTCTGCTCCAAAGTATGACATTCCTACTAATCTAAGGTCAACTGTATTAGCAGTTCGAATATAGCCAATAAGGAAAGATGAAATGTGTCTAAACAATGATGTAGCATCTCACTAAAACAATATTGACCAACTTACCCCTGAAACCCGTTTATCAGTCTCGGGGAAGTAATATAATGCGACCTTTGTATGTATGTATGTGTGTGTGTGTGTGTGTTTGTGTCGATGTTGTTGTTGTTGTTGAAGTGACAACAGCTCTTGTTGAATAATATAGACTTCACTTTGAAACTTAAATCTACACAATAGTTCTACACAACCGGCTCCTGTACTATTATTGTGTTGGAATATACAGCTGATTCCATCTTTGTCTTCTACAGTCTTGCCATTTATTTGGACGGTTTTGACAACGCTCAAAGCAAGGAAATAAAATCGGAGGTTTGTAGATTATGGAGTGTGTGCAATGTGTTTATTTTTCTTTCATATTAATGAACTGCAAAGAGTCACGACGGACAATACACGTAACTTTCATTGATCAAGGATCAATGCGTTTGTATGCATTGTAAGAGATCAATGGTCTGCTACTCAGTTTAAAATGATCTTTTTTTGTATTGATTGCTGTTGCATTATGAACGCGAAACAGTGACAATATAGTTTAGGGGTCACTTTAATGATGTTTGTCTCTGTGCGTTTGCGTTTGAATATAAACCACCTCCGATAATTAGTAAAACATTGAAAATAACACACTCCTTCCAGTATAATGCCGTCAATAAAGAGGGCAGCACTAATACACGAACCATTTCGATCAGTTAAATAAAGAAATCCCAATGCACTGGTTTTGACATTTCAACAGAGGGGAGTTGGCAGGTCTTTTATAACTTTGCATGTATTTAAAATACATTCTTGGCTTATTATTACCATCCAGGGCGACCAAGAGGCCATGGGTTTTCTCTCGCCGTTTTCCTAACAGACAATGTCCGAAAAACCGATGGACAGGAGTTTGCAATTGAAGTTACATCACGTTTAAAATGAAGAGAAATTGTAACGGCGACGTTGCCAGTAAAATGCGCCAGGAAGTTTCATTGTACAGTTATTTGTTCAATTAAAATCAGACCCAACCCGCTAGGACTTTGGCTTGTGTGTTGTGAAAGCTGTAGTTTTATCATCAAGCAATCAACGTGAACACATTTTCTCCCTCTTTTAAAACTATCACAGCCTATTCATATACGTGTACGCTATTTGGCGTATTTATAGTCAAAATTTTAGAATTAAAACGCAATGCTTTCAACAGTTATATTTCGGGGGAGCTTTCGAAACTTTTGCTTTCCAACATTTTGACAGAGTAAAACATATCTCATTACCCCCCACCCCCCAGTTTATCCTCTTTACGAATGAGAAGGTATTTCTGAATTTGGATTGAATCCCTTCTCTTTTGCAATAAAACACAAAACAATACAACACCGCGATTTGAGATGTGTGCAATATTCCTGTCGCGAGGAAATAATTGTGTTCGTCTTTCTCTTTGCTTGTGTCTTGGTTTGGAATAGTACGTGTCAATAATACCTGGATTGATTTTACTTGAATATAAATCAGACCGAAGTGGCTCCATGAACACCTTCTAAACTTTGTTCCCTTTCAACTCTCGTGAAAGATTTTCATCAGCTCCATCTTTCAAATACATTTATTTTTTTTTATTTTTTTTCGGGGGGGAAGGGGTTGGGGGAAAGGGTTTGGGCGACGTGCGGACGAATCCAATAAATCTTAATGAATTCGATGCAATCCAGCTGGGTTTTTTTTAACACGTGTGACAAAAGGTTGATCCGTATTTATTTTATTTTCCTATCGATATTGTTGCTTCGGTCAGAATCGCAGCCACTAGACGGCGACAGTACTTCACTGGGCGAGTTTCAAAACTTGCCCCAGTTACTGAGTGCTTTGAGAAACAATGTCCCTTTGTGACCTCCCAAAAGCAGAGAGTAAAACCGCCGCAAAAACTCACACACACACACACACACAGATTAAAAACAACCTTGATTCCCCATCCCCCCCCCCAAAAAAAAAAAGTTTTTGCTGCAAAGGTCAACAATTCCTCTGCAGCAACCCCCAAATCTCGGACCCATCCGATGCACCTGATCCTTCACAACGTGGGCGTCTGGTACAGAGTAAAGGGTGAAAAGCAGAGAAACGACAGCACGATGTTAGCCTTTGCGAGCGCACAGCACAGGTGATGCGTTGTGTTATGCAGAGAAAACAGAGCGATCGTGCGCTCGATCATTCTGAAACTGCCACTCGCTTGTTGATCATTCCCACATTTGATGCACTTGACATGTCCGATCGTGCCCATAAAGGATCGTTATTCGTTTTTACAACATCCTTCTTTTTTTTTTACACACACACACACACACGCACGTCTTGTTTCCGGACGCTGCTTTAAGCCAGATAGCTAACGTGCGACCTTGCGCTGCGGGTTCAGAAAGTAGCCATCGAAACCCGTTACCGAAATGCACGTACATTTGTGGCTGTAAAGGTAACTTTCTCGGGGGCTCTTGAGTACATTACACGTGTCCGCGGAACTGCGTCGACAAGTCGCCAAAGTCTAAATTGCCATTGGGTTTTTTTTTTGAGGTGTGGGGGGGGGAAGGGGGAGAGTGTGGCGTTAGTTTTTATCTCCTTTGTTTTTTTAAAACAAATTTCAGAAAAGCTATTCACTGATGGGACCAAACAAGCGATTGATTGTGTGTGGTTGTGGATATTTAGACGCGGAGTAGGAACGGGGGGGGGGCAAGGCTCATTGTGTTCTCTTTTAAAGTAACCCCTGTGTAAGCCGACGAGAAATAATAATAATATTTTTTTTAAAAAAGAGGGGTGGGGGGCGCACTTGCTTTAAGAGGGGGGGGGAGAGCCTTTCTAACCCATATGGTTGTTTGCTGGATGCAGCAGGTCTGCTCTGCTCTGTGCTGCCAGGTTGTGAGCAAAGCCTGGGCTTTCACATCCACTGAGTTTGCGGGAAGTGACAAGGCGATGCGGTTGCCACAGCAGCCAAACAATCTGCAATCGGGGGAACTGACCGCAACCGGGTTTGATTGGCAAGTGGTGGAGCCGTCAATCAAGAGTCCAATTCAGCAAACCACCTGCACTCACTCGCCTGTGCTTTCCTTGGCTGGAGCTTGTTAGCAGTCTGGATATCCGGCACATGCTTTAAACTAAGGTTATCTTAGCTGTCTGGGAAGGACACCCTCCCCCCCCCCGCCACCCACCCCCCCAAAAAAAAATCTAGCAAAGGCTAATTATATCCCACACCGGATTTTTTTTCAAAAAAAAACTCTTATGCTATTCTTCATTAAACGTCTGCAATGCGTCCACACGTGTTTTTTTTTTGTCTTTTAAAATAATAATCCCCCCCACCACCCAACAATTTGTCAAACGGTGTTAGTTTGAAACCAGTGCACACACTCTCTGTCCAATTCCGCAAAAAAACGTGTCCAATCTAATACTGCTTTTCATACTTTTCATCCATTCCCCCCCCCCACAAAAAAACAAGACATTTTTTTTCTTTGTATATCAAGTGTTTATGTTTGGGAAGGAAAGCTTGATCTTTCAAACTCTTCCCTCCCACCTTTTTTTTGTTAAATATAAGAATAAGTTAAACATTCCTTTTTTTGTATTCAAGCAATGGGTCGCAAACAATGGTTGAAACTGCTGAATGGAAGAAAGTTAACTTTTTTTTTCCCTCACACTTCCAAAAAAAAACCTACTTAAAGTCGTAGCGAACGAATGAGTGGTTTTAACTTTGACCAAACAATGTGTGTGTGTGTGTGTGTGTTTTTGGAGGAGAAATGTGTTTGAGGTTGAGCTGAGAAAATGAATTTCCTTGTGTGTTACCTCTGTCTCTTTCTCGCTCGTTTTTTTTTGGTTGGTTGGGGGGTGGGGTGGGGGGGAAACTTTAAAAAGAATCCTCACCTAAAGTTTGAATAAATGTAGTGACTGCTAAACAGCAATTCATCAGGCTTATCCCGGGAGCCGAGCTGCGATTGGATGCCAGCAGCTCATTTATACCCTGTCAATCTAAATCACATGGATAGGTGTCTATTAACTCCTGAACAACAACAGAAGTTTGGCAGAGATCGCGCAGTGTCTGTCTCTCTCTGTGTGTGAGTGTGTGTGTGTGAGAGAGAGAGAGAGAGAGACCAGTCAGTAAAGGCAGTCTTTCGGATTGTTAAAGAGTTTGCCCTCCGGGACTCCTGTTTACTACCTCTTTGCCTCCGAGCCGAAAGCCTTGTGTTGTTGAGAGCCTCTCCCTCCTCTCTATCTCGTCCCCCCCCCCACCTCTCTCCCCTCTCTCTGTCTCTCTCTCTCTCCCCTCTCTCTCTCTCTCTCCCCCCCCCCCCCCTCCCCACACCAATAAGCCCAATGTATAGCATGATGGAAACCGAGCTGAAGTCCCCGATTCCGCAATCCAACGCGGGGTCGGTGGGCAACCCGACTGCGGGGAATAATGGCAAGAACTCCAGCGGCGGCGGCGGCGGAGGCAACAACAACAACAACAACAACCCGGACCGGGTGAAAAGACCCATGAACGCCTTCATGGTCTGGTCGCGGGGCCAGCGCCGGAAGATGGCCCAGGAGAACCCTAAAATGCACAACTCGGAGATCAGCAAAAGGCTGGGCGCCGACTGGAAACTCCTGTCGGACGCCGAGAAGAGGCCGTTCATCGACGAAGCCAAGCGCCTGCGAGCGTTGCACATGAAGGAACACCCGGATTACAAATACAGACCCCGGCGGAAGACCAAAACCCTCATGAAGAAGGACAAGTACTCGCTGCCCGGCGGACTGCTGGCCCCGGGCTCCAACCCGGTCAACAGCAGCGTGGGGGTCAGCCAGAGGATGGACAGCTACCCCCACGTCAACGGCTGGGCCAACGGGGCTTACCCTCTGATGCAGGAGCAGCTCGCGTACTCCCAGCACCCGGGCATGAACAGCCCCCAGATCCAGCAGATGCATCGCTACGAGATGGCCGGCCTCCAGTACAGCCCCATGATGTCCACCGCCCAGAGCTACATGAACGCCGCCTCCACCTACACCATGTCGCCGGCCTACGGCCAGCAGAGCACGCCCGGCATGAGCCTGGGCTCCATGGCTTCCATGGTCAAGTCGGAGCCCACCACCCCGCCTCCGCTAACGTCCCACTCCCGGGGAGCGTGTCTGGGAGACCTGCGGGATATGATCAGTATGTACCTGCCCCCCGGAGGAGATGGGACGGTAGACCCTACGTCGCAGGCCAGCAGACTGCACAGTGTTCACCAGCATTATCAGACCACAACCGTCCCGGGCACAGGAGTAAACGGGACAGTACCTCTAACGCACATCTAAAGACAGAAAGATTCCGATTTACCCTCTCTCTTGCCTCTCTCTCTCCCCCTCCCCCCCATCCATCTGGACTTTCAGACTTTATATTGAAAAGAAACCCCACGCTTTTGCATTTTCGAGTCAAGTGCAACTTTTTTTTAAAAAAAAGAGAGGTGCAGTACAGTCCTACCCCCCACCCCCACCACCACCGACTCCCATCAGATCATTTTGTTGAATGAACCAATGTTCTCGGGAGGAAGGAGATTCCCGCTGCGTTATAATAACACATCTTACTTATGAGAGTTGAACGTGGTTTTTTTTTAAAAAAAACGCTGAAGCTTTTAGGTGTTTTTTTTCACACAAGTGGGCAATCGAGACACGGACGGATGGACGGACTTTTAAGATGCCAACTTTTATAATATTATACACACACCAGAAAAAAACACACGCACCACTCACTCACGCACACACACACACACTCACACACACACGCACAGCCTTGTGACTTTTAATGGCTTCAGATTAAACGGCGACATCGAAACTGTGAGAGAAGAAAACTTCATTTCAAGTAAAGAGAAACGTTTACGCACATTCGTGTTTGTAGATATCTGTTTTTCCACCCAATTGCCCCCCCCCACACCCCCCCTCCATCGCGGTGGCTGTCTTCAAACTCACGCGAAAAAAAACTTGTAGAATTGGTTTTGTTTTAACTGATAATTTTTTTTTTCCATTTTAGGTTTTAATTATCCTTTTTTTAAAAAAAAGAAAAAAAAAGACTGTGCGGGTCGCAACGCAGGTTTTAATTTATAGTAATTTTTTTTGTGTTTTACCTTTTTTTTCCCCGAAAGCTTGTGAACATTAACCTGTGTAATATGGACTTATTATTTGTTTCACAATTTTTGTGAGATGACTGTGGAATAATGTTTTACCATATCGATTGAGTAATTATATCGAAGCAAGCAGAGATGCTTTTTTAGTTTACTAATGAGGTTCCTACAGATCTCCAGCTCATGTTGCAGAATGAGGATGAATAAATTTTTACAAAAAAAGCTGCAAAAGGCGTCTTGTCTGCGTGTTCGAGAAAGTCGTGTTGTTGCCAAAACACTCCCAGGCAAAGTGTGATTAACAACTACCCTTTGCGTGAGTGAACAATTTTTTAAAAAAATCAATTAAGATTTCGTGCCACTCAAGACAACTCCCCCCCCCCCCCCCCCCCACCACTTCTCCCAGCTATTTGGATATTTTGAGGGTATAAGACAGGAAATTGAGGGGAGGAGGAACTACAAGTGCCATATTTGCTCATAAATTTCTTTAAAAAAAAGGGATTTTGTTGCAATTTCTGTAAATGCATGGAAATCGTGCTATAGCTCGTGGGGGTGGTGGGGAGGGAGGTACAGTATATGGTAACGACCTTACAATTGTATCTCACTCTCTACCCCTCACCCCCACACCTTTTAGAAGTCGTCAGCTATTTTCTCTTTCTTAAAAATATCCCAAAGCTCCGAAAAGGCGAGAAAAATGTTTGTTGGCAGTTGATGCATTCTTCTCCCGTCCCCCCCCCCCCCCCTCAAAGAGGCTGTTAATGAGCCCAGATCGTTTGCAAACTGCTCAGCTTCGCTGATAGTTATAAAGCGATCGATTCTAATAATTATTCCAAAAACGCCACAACCGCACAATGCTGATCTAAGGTTTCAAGTATTTTGTTGCTATGGGTGTGTTTTTTCTCTCCTCTCCCCCCCCCCCCCCCCCCCCCACACACCCAGAATGTTTTACTGTCCTCGCCCCAGGGCAGATGGTAGAGTGGGAGTCTTGCAAATAGTTCACTAATCCTACAACATGGGGGATGGAAAAAGAACTCGGTTGAATTCAACAAGTGTTTCAGTAAATCAAAGTCGACCTGTTATTTCTTTTGGGGGATGCTTAGAATCTCTGCTTTAAGAAACTTAGTTGGTGGTAAAGTATTTGCAGTCGATGTGGTGCTAAATTTTTTAAAAAAACAACATTTTTGAAGGAAGGAAACAAAAAAAAAAAGGTTTTGGGTTTGCCTCAAGAACTTTTTGAATTTTGCTAACATGGCGCTTCCTGTGCGGCCCCTGTATTTGTTTGGAGACTCAAAAACTTATGCACCCCCCCCCTCCCCTCCCCAGTCTCAATCTCACAGCTTCGGGCTAAAAGACACATTCTGTCTGCATTATCGCCCATCTCGCTGTCTCTTATAAAGAGACCGAAATCTACAGATCATTTTATGCAGTCTGTGTGAAAGGGATGAGTCGGGTTACATTTAAAACTCCCATTTACAGTACCTATAATTTAAATTTTAAGCAACCATCGTGAACTGGAATTTTGCGGACGATTTCTTATTCTCCCCCCACCCCCTCCCCACACAATCATTTGCTTGTGGTCTTTTGGCTTTAATTTCCAGTCTGGTAACAAAATGTAAGTTTTAAGGAAATGAGGGAAGAAAGTGTAGTAGTGTGTGTGTTCCTCAATTGCGTGATCTTTTGGGTTTTTGTGTTTATGACCAGTTTCTCTGCCTGAAATGGTAGTGTAAGCCAACACAATCCGGATCTACACGTGCGATGTGCAAACGGAGGGTGGCCAGGGTTCCTGAAGCACAGGTTATAAATTCTGACAGTGTTCAAACGTAATTTCACCCTCTTCCCACACCCCACCTCCGAAACTCAACCAGATAGGCAAAGGGTGTGATGGGATGGAGGGCGTGTGGTGCAATTAATTGTGCAGGATCCGGTTTCATTATTCCCTGGAGGTTGTAATTTTCAAAATACCTTCACAGGCCATTTTATTTCCGAGGTGGACTGACTCTTGTCCACGGCCACAATATATTTTTTTTTAACTGGGTCGTTTTCGAGAAGCCCTGGCCATTGAAGCTCCCAGCAATTCAAAATACTCCTGACTTGCCAGTGTCAGTGAACTAGTGCTTTAACCACTGTTTCTCGAGCCTTGCAAAAAGAGTCCACTTGACTGATCTCTGTGGCGAGGAATCTTCGGGATAATGTCATTAAAGTAATCTAAAGAGCACATTAGGCCACGAACTGCACCATCACGCGAGTGAACATACTTTTTTTTTGCTGGGGGGGAAATTCTTTCTCGTGTCACGGTCCTGTTTGAATGGCACTGGCTGATGCCAAACGACGTGGCTGTCAGAACTATGCAAGCAGCCTTGCTCAAATGGCCATCACACGGAAACCATAGACCAGGGCTTGCAACAAAATGTGTACCTCGGAATATTGATCATTCCCCCCCCCCCCCCCTGGAAGGAAATGCAGAGCTTCGCATTAGCCTTGCGACTGTCGCTCGCTTTACACGGGGTTTGCATTTATCCTCAATTAAGGAATCGGTTGAGGACAACTTTTTTTTCTTGCCTTTTACTCCAGTGATATTCAAATGTATTTATTGATCTTTGCAGCCAACAGAATCGAGTCTTTCGTGGGGCGAGTCTGATCTGCAGTTTGCATTCTACCAGTTTGTATTTGGTTTACCCCTGCTTTTAAGTAATCGGTGGTTTCGTAATGGGCTAAAAACTGCATGATTTGGTGTAAAAGTATCCATTCATAATCGCAAACTTGAATACAAAAGAAGGTGATGGTTGACTTTGAAAGCAGTTCAGTTTTTTTTCGACCCCCCCCTCCCCACCTCCCCCATTCGCGTTACTTCCTTAATCTACTCTGCTTTTTTTTAAAGTATAAAATCAAGACGCAGTTTTATCAACTAAGTTAGAGCTCTCCGACGATTGCCTTCAGTATATTTCACTCGTTCCTGTGAAAGTTGACGTTTCGGATATTTGATCTTTAGTAGGTTTGTACTACAGCCACTGTAAACAAGATGGATATTTTCTCTCTCACACACACACAGACGCACGGTTTGCATAGCAAGCATTCTGTTTATAACTGTAAAGGCCTCTTAAAGTTGTAATTTATGTTTTTGATTGTAAGGCGAAAGCTTTGTCTCCGGACTTCTATCCGATTTCTCGTCTTGGACACATCGCTTAAATTGTATTGGATCTTGCATTTGAAAATGAAAACGATGTAAGTTTATATGGCATGCATTACCATAATCGTAGTTCATTCTATCATATTCCAGCCAGTGCCATTACAATCTCACAACTTTCGAGTACTGTTTGTAAAATAGGCAAAGGTGTGCTTTGCCGGCGGTTCTCGTATCTATTTTGACCAGATGCCTAACTGACAATAAATTGTAAACTCGCTAAAAATACACGAGTTGCTTAGTTCCATCAGGGGACAAACCTTATGTTGGTTGCAGACTTCAGTGCTTGAGAACAAAAGACATTTAAATCACGATTACTTGTTTAACATCCAGTGAGTACACGCATACGCTTCCAATTAATTGCAGGAATTGAAACTATTTGAAGATTATTAACTAGTATAATATAAGATTCAATTTTTTTGTCTTGTATATTGTATAAAATATGGAAGTCGCCTCCCTAAGTTGCTGCAGTATTGTAAACATATTATAAAGACATACGTTCAATTCACTTTACAGTATATTCTGTCAAGCGCTTTGAGACGTCTCAAGTGCGATAAAGCGCTATATTAAATGCAAGGATTATTAATATTTGGCGAACCTTATTTATTACAACGAATGCATATATTCTCTCTTGGATGAGTCCGACACATACATACTATACGCAAAAGTAAATCTGGGATTCAACTGGCATAATTTTCAGTGAGAAAATTTTAGACTAAATACATGAAAATAAATAACCTGTGTGTGGAAACGAAAGGGATTGCAGTTCACAGAGGTTGCACTTCATTGAGTTTTTGCCTTCAGCTGTCAACTAGTGTTAGCATCTTTCGACCCAATACTGAGTAACTTTCTTCTCCATGTTACTCCTGTACCATTTCCATTTTGAGCTCAAACGCGCATGTTTTAACCTTAGTTTAATATTTTCTTTTTTTAAAAAAAAGATGTTACAAACCTCATAACTCGATATAATAATCTGGTTCGTTTTTTTTAAGTAACGATGTCGATCATTTCCTCTGCACCTTAAAGCTGTTGATGTGATTCGCGGATTAAAAAAAAAGGAAAATAATCGAATACTAAGAGTGGGTAACATAATCAAAGCCTCTCGATGCGACTTATCGATCAGGCCGTATACAAACATATTGAACTTGTCTGGTTTCGAATTTCACCATTTAAAATCACTTTGCATTAGGCAAGTTTTGACATTGTCTGGGGTTTTTTTTCGGTCAGATTAAATACATTTGCGTATCCATCGGGGCAACAAAAAAACACGATGGAAACCCTACTTTGCGAACTGCATTTGTGTTCTCCCAAGTTTGCCTATTCAGTTCTAACGCTGCCCTCTCTCTCTGTCCACCAATCTCTCATTTCATTTCTACATGTGAATAGAGAATCTGATGGGGGAGGAATGGATGGACGATGTCCCATGAATGCAATTGACAAAAAAAAAGTATTATATGACTTCAACCAATTTTTTCACATCGCTCCTGCCAGAATGTATTTGAGAAATGTGCAATTCTTCCAATCTCTCACTTGACTCCTGCTCTACCTTCAAAACTTCATATTATTATACCATATATATTTATTCGCGCCCTCGAGCTGATTCTTGTCGAGGGTCGGTAAACAAAAAGTATTTATTTTTGTCATTCGCTGACCATTTGAAGGAAATATTGGGCTTCTTTAAAGGCAGCATCAAAAGGATTTTGGGACAAATCATGACATTAATCCTATATCCAGTT